TGACTGTTGTGCCCTTCCTTTCGCAAAGCAGCCAGTACAGCGTCTGCGGACATTGCCCTTAAATCCTTCCTTTTCTTCGAGCTTGCGATTAGTGAATTCGCGCTTGAATTGGGTTGCTGATTCAACTTCTCGAATGGCATGTCATGCTGAAATGATCTCACAGGGGTTTCGCCAAACTACAGAATGGTTACTTCGCTACATGTGATATTACAAATGGAAAAGAGAAAACGACAGATCAGCATAGGATGAAAAGACCAAGCAGTGCATTTATCGCAAGATGAATGCAGACGAAAATGAATCTCTAGAGCTACTCTTTAATAAAACCGAATCGCGTCGAATGTGTTAAATTTGGTTTTTGTTCTGCACCCAGTCTAAGTAACCTTACTTTTTCTGTTATTTGTCCATAGTCAGAGAAGTTGTTGCGGAATCTGCCGGTTTTAGATCTGGAGCAGTTCTCACTTGTATTTCCGCCGATGTTTCTTATCAACGGCAAACATGACCGGGACTAAATTGTTTTTCGATCCTGGTCCCGGTCCCATTAAAATTCTATTTTTTGGTCCCGGTCCCGGTCCCGGTAAAATTCTATTTTTTGGTCCCGGTCCCGGCCACCGGGACCGGGACCGGAACTGGTCCCGCACATGTCTAGTGTGGATAAACAGAAGAACAACACCCACACCCTAATCCTAAAGGGTATATGTGATTTCCACATTTCAACTTCTTCGGAACTACGTTATCAAACTTATTTTTAGTTAAATATCGTACAGGCTCACATCTACACAGGCTAAAAAGTTACTTGATAATCTTTATTTATTTTGAGAAACCTTAACTGAACTGTTTTTTTTCAACAGTGTCAAAAATGGAGATAATATGTTGCTTGCTTAAATAGTCCATAATTGATATGATATTAATTGTTATATTGTTAAATACTCATTAGAATATCAACACTAATAACATTTGTTGAGATTGGATTGAGTAACCAAAATGATATTGTGTATATATTACCGATTATGGTTACAAATGTTTGACTAAGATAATCGGGATTTCCTACAGCTCCATCAAAATAAAAGTCTGAACCAGATTTAGGCATATATTTATAATTGTCCTGATCATAAACATTTCCTGTTGCTATTTCTCCAGAAAAATTTGCATTAAATGGATTGCAATAGATCCATGGCGTCACTTTGTTTGTCTCAAAATCACCATTGACAATAAGTTGAGTATTAGGTGCTGCATTATTCCATATAGATATATTATCCAGTCCAAAAAAGTGCCAATCATTACGTAATGCAAATGTAATTCGTGTTACATTAGCAATAGCTGTGTATGCGTATGTATATTGTGCATACTGACTGCTAGAAGGACAACTGTTATAGCAGTGATAAAGTAATGTAATACTATTCCAATTTGATGTACATGTATTCGATGTAACCGCTTAAATAAAGGTAAATCAAATATTTGTTGTTTGAACTACTAATCTAAAGTAACTTACTGATAGTTGATGCGGTTGTTGTAGTGCTACTAGCTAAATATGACAAAAGAAGTTAAAGTTGATCAATAACTTAGAGAATACCAAAAGAGATATGAATAGCATTTGAATGGAAGTGGCTATGTACACTCGAGTGTACAAAGTCGTGTGACTATGCTTACTCATTTGTAGGGAATAAGTCATTTAATTGAAGATGGGATGCCCATGTAATAGAGTTGAATGAAAAAAATGAGCGGAAGTTGGATATGGATGAAGAGATGAGGTGCTGAAGGAAGGAATGAGGAGTTGAATCAGGTGAGGGTGTCAGTGTGTGAATGTACGTGCTGAAAAATCAGTTCTAGTTTATGAATGAGCGTGTGGAGATGATTCTTGAGGTATATGGAACAGAAATATCCGTGTTGCCCTTCTCATTCGCATTCGAAATCGTTCCAATCCCCTATTTTGTGTCATGTTCATTTCCCAAACCTTTCTCAGTCGCTCATTGTACCCCTTCATTGTCCACACCGTACTCCGTTTGTACTGCGACTTCCATCAGCACCCCACTTTCAATTAATTTATTTCCTCTGCCCCCCCCCCCCCCCTAATGAGTGCACATAGCCACGCGGCTATATGTACTCGAGTGTACATAGCCACATAGCTATGTTTACTTGAGTGTACATAGCCACTTCCCATTTGAATGCTGTATAGTTAGATTAAAGAAACTTTTTTTCTGTATGGTATAATAGAGCGAGAAGAGTCTTATCTTTCTATGTTATTTGACCCTTCTTCAAATAATACAATGATAGTTGAGTTGTTGACTTTTATGAGAGCAATGAAAAAAAGCTAATCTTATTGAAAAATTTGGTGTTTTTTTCCTATATAAAAATCAATTTTTCGACATTTTTTTGAGATTTTCCAAGTAGTTTTTTGAATTTTTTATCAAAAAAAGATGCAACTTTGTAGAGCTCGACGAGTTCTATTGAACCATGTAAAAATATTCAATAAAAAAGTTTTACTCCATATTTGAATTATTGACATCTTAATTTTCTACGCCAAAAAAAAGTATAAAACTTTTAAAACTACCTTAACGGTAACATAAAAAGATCCAAGGGGAAAAAGCTGACTCCGGAACTCCAGGACTCCAAGGGACTCCACGGGACTTCAAACACATATGGAGTACCGGAGTTCATGTTAACTGATTCTTACATTTTTTTCAAATACGTTACTAATGGCAAATAGCACGGTGAATTGTGAGAAAATCATAGAGAGATTTGAGCCAATATCAAGCGGTATGCATCAGTGCTAGACCCGAACTGGGGACTGGGTATATATTTAATTAATCTATGTTGATTAAATCATCGGTTGTTTACGAGCACCCGCAAGTCCTCAAGATCGATACTATGGAAATGCCTACTGGTCCTCAAGCCCTATATAATGGAAGCACCCTTAGATCCTCAAGGGCTATTCCCTTGACTGTAGTCAGAATTTTAATCTCGAAAATGACTGTGTGTTTTTGTGTTTTTCTGCAAGGTGGTAGTTCAAATCTACAGTCTAGCGACGCAGTGAATCGCCTTGATCCATGATAAACCTCTCTCCGCAATAGAAGGCCTCCCAGTAGTATAAGGTCTCCATGTTTAGAAGGGGTTACCGGACGTTCGCCAATAGGAATTTCGCCAACGGGACTTTCGCCATTGGCAAACGTCCATTGAACTTTCGCCAATATACCCCTTTTACTTTCGCCAATTGGTGAATTTCCAGTGAACTTTCGCCAATTGGCGAACGTTTAGTGAGCTTTCGTCAGCATACTCCCTATACTTTCGCCAATTGACGAATTTCCAATGAACTTTCTTGAATTTACGTATAACAGGAGCGTTGATTAGAGAGGTTGATCAACTATATTTATAACTGTATGACTTGGGATACATTTTTATAATGCTAGGCGTAGTTCTTGTACACCACTTACGATATGAATATTCCATCTTCATTAATGAAAATTTATTCGGCTTTCACCAATTCATCCCCTGGAAATTCGTCAACTGGCGACAGTTCAGTGAAATTTCGCCAATATATCCCTTGGAAATTCGCCAATTGGCAAAGTTTCGGACCCCCTTTAGAAGGCTCCAGGAGAGGTTTTCGCGGGAATTGTGTGTATATTGCCGGGAATATTGGTGGAATCTGGACTCGATGTGACACGCCATAATATAAGGTTCGAGACCTTTTATTGCGGGAGGGGTGTATTTGTATGTAAACCATTATAGAAAAGGCATTCCACTATTTAATCATGCAAAAAAATCCTCCATCTTAATTGGTTTATAAAATTGGCAATCACATTGCCAGAACTTTTTGTCAGCCATAAGGTTAATATAGAGTTGCCGATAGGTGCTGAAGGACAGGGTTCACGACTGATGTTGAGAATGGGACAAGTAGGAGTACAAACTTTTCGAAAACTCCACCATATTCAGCGCACAAAGTTAATGTTGCTTCTGTTCCATTTCTTGCCGAACATCGATGTTATGTGTGCCATATTTCCTGCATAGATTTCAAAGTTTGGAAGAAAGTGTGGCATAAATACGATCGAGTTCCTGCGAAAAATATAGAAGAGAGGACTGCATTTTCTGCGAGATGTTTGACCTAAAAAACATGGACATTCGGCAAGAATTTGGCAGAGACCATGCCTTCTTTGATATGGTTAGAGAAAATCGACATCTTTTCTACGATAGTGTAGTTATCGATTTCCTAGAAAGTATCATCAATGCTTTTTGCAGAAAATCTGAAGTTCGTTACTTGCAAGGCCTGTCATTCCCCAACTCGGTAACCCTGCTCAAAGCGTGTAGTAAACGGCGCACATAGATCCGTAAGGCACATACTACTGGGATCCGCTTGCTATATGCTATGAGGAGCTATGGCTACCCTTACGAGAGAGTCCGTAAAGACCTATGGTTGTTCTAGGGGTGGCAGGTTAGCATTAGTGTTAAGAAAATTCTAATACTTTTGTATTAAAATAAATAATTCATTTAATACTTTTGCATTAGGGTTAAAAAAATAATTTAATGCTTTGGTATTAGTGTTAATTTTGTATTAAAAAAATGCTAATACGTATCATGATTATGCAATTCGTTTATAGAACTATCATTGTAGGTTTACCGTCAGCTTCTCTATAGTTGGATTTGCTTTGTAACATTTCTATACAGAAAAAATGTCATGTATGCACCAGGATGACATACATGTACACTTATAGTTCTTCAGAAAGCATAAATAATTTTATCAGATATCGATACTGTAAAAGAAAAACTCAATCTAAAGGTCATTTAGCGAGAATGACTCATATATTACTTGACTTTCATATGTAAAATGCCAACATGACTGAATATTTTTCGATGAAACATGCACAGTCTTTTTTTTTCATTATAATGATTATTACTCTGTAAACGTTTGCTTAGTATGTGATGTTCCTAAGCTCTCTTCACAGCTATAGAGCACAAAAAATTCATTCGAATAGGATCACTTCATGTGTGTCACCTCAATAAAATATAATTATCTAAATTTAGCCGTGTAGATTTGATTATCAATAAAAATGAAAACATAGTAAATTTGTTGAACATTAGTTGATTACATTTCTAGCTATGAAGTTATTTTAAAAAAACATTAGGTACTGAATATCTACTGTTAGTTCATCAGATCACACGTAATGAAATGGAGAAGAAAAAAAATATTATACACATTCTCTGTTTGATATTAGTCTATATGCTTTTGATGCAGAAAGAGAAGGCAAACGAAGAGAAAAGAAAAGACTATGCGTCACCTGTCCGACAACTTATCATAAATCAAACCAAAGAGAACGACTAATAGTGTTATGCTTTGTTATTGTTATTTCTTTTTAATAATTTTCTTTGTTTAGTTCGTCCGCTGTAAAGAACGAAGTCAGTGTTAAATAAATGCTTTATTTCATAGTCGTCATTATTCACATAACAACTTCGACGTGTTTTCTTGCTTTGTTGTTTCTATGTCTGGTGCAAATAATCATTTTTACTCGAGTTTGGATGCTTTACCACCACATCCTCCAACTCGTTCTAGTAGTTTACGAACTCGATCATCATGATCGTCTACTACAAATCGTATCTTGCATCATACATTGTCTAGTCGATCTCCATCATCATCAAGAGTTGTACGTCGAAGACGAGAATCATCTATACGTAAGTAAAGTCACTATATGAAATAAATGAATATTTCATTTTGTGTATCTAGGAAATTATTTTAACTATTTATTGCAGCTTCTGTCAATGTTTATGGATAATAAGACATACTAGTAACAGAAAAGATGTAAATATTTTCAAGTAAATGTTAGATAAAAGCACCATGATAAAGAGTCTTAGCATCTTTATATATTGCACAATAATATAATTATTCAAGTTTTGTGTAGAGGACAACATGCGCTGTTTTCATTCTTGCTGTTACCACTTACCCACGTAAAACAATTAGGGTAGTAATCACATTAAAATTGATTTAAAAATGATTAAAAATCGATTCTAATCCTACGCTTGTAATCAATTTTCTATCATGTTTTAATTGATTTCAATCAAATTGAATCGAAAAAATCAAAATTCTATTAATTATTAAGATTAATTTCGATTATAATCGATTGAAACTAAAAATTTCATTGTAAGCGATACAAATCCATGAAAATCTGCTGCAGATTATTTTCAAATCTCGTGATGCAAAAATCATTATATTCATTTATTCTATTAAGTTTTAATCGATTACAATCGAAATTAATCTTAATAATCAATCGAATTTTGATTGGTTCGATTAATTTTGGTGAAAATCGGTTGACAGCGTATGATGATAACCGATTTTTAATCTTTTGCTAATCGGTTTTTTTTCTGACTTTTTATCCTAATTTTTTTACGTTGGTACATGGAAGAAATATCAACAATATTTCTGTTTCTAGTTTCAGCAATAAAAATTTCTTGTGTTTAGTAGACTAAGTCTGATGATAATCTCTTTCGTGATTTTCCGGGTGTACTGAATATCATGATTTGGATGGGAATCAGAGATGTGCACCGCTCGCGCGGGTGCGGAGCGGTCGCACTGCTCGCGCGGTCCATCCGTTCCGCTCTGAGGAGAATAACTTATATGGGTGTGGCCGCACCGCTTCTGAATTTTGCGAGCGGGACTGATGTGGAGCGACCGTTCTCGTTTTATTTACCGTCCGAGCGGCCGCTTGATCTTAATTTGAACGTTTTATTAGGGAATATCTTCTGAAGTTGAAACCGACGAACCTAAACTACAATTAATGTCGTACAGCAATATTGATGACTTTTTCTCTTAAATAATAATGATAAGTAACGAAGGATTGACTTCGTACTCATATTTGATACAAAGAGCATTTTAAAATCCTATGCCGGATGGATTTCGATTCTCAAAATAAGTTTGTATTATACTGGGGGTTCGATGGCACCATTTATAGATTTTCTTGTTACTCCTGGCAATACAAATACTATATAGATCAAATGTTGACTTCAACTTTCTCTTTCCCATTACAATTTTATATTTTAAGTTGTCTATTTTTCTTTTTCTAATATTTATATAAATAGCTACAAGTGTATGAAGTCCTCGGACAAAAATGACTAATTTTAATTAATCTGAAGTATGAAAATCGGCAGAAAAAATTTATTTGATAATTTCTTCTCTCA